AATAACATAAAAAAGGAAATTCATCTTAGCACTGCACAAAGAAAATATCTGCTTACCTTATTTATGAATTCACACCTCTTCAGTCAAAAAAAATTCCTTAACAGCATCCAAAAACTTCGTAAAATTATCTGAACTAGAATCTGTTTACTGGCATCGCCACATAAATTCACAAAACAAGAGTTAAAAATATCCTTCATAACGACGTTCGACCATACGCATTTCCTTTCTTCAAACAGGACACTTCATAATGGCTACTAAGTAAACCTTCATTTACACACCAGTCAAGTAATGCTCTTTTCCCCTTTCTTTCCAAATCATACAGAAACTTCAAATTAATCTTACCACATTCAGCCATTCTACCATCTAAACCACAAAACAAGCAATGTATTTCCTAACCAATATACACACCACAAGCCGTTACAAATCTTTTCCCAATGTACTGCAAACATACAACCAATTATGTCATAATAGGGTTTCCATAGCATTCAACTACTCAGGTTACCATAAATGAAACAACAACTTCTCGATAATATAAGGAGCACCCTTCAGTCTACTCTAACCCATATATTTGATGTAAGTAAAATATCAACGTTTACTGGTGCTTGCCTTGAGCTTAATAATAAAGATGAATGTTATATGTCAAGCTATGACATGAAGGGAAAAAAACATAATGAATAACAGGTAATTAACTTAATTAGTATTAATTGCCGGCAGGTGCTAAGCTGCAACCATTCCATGTGATATTTCATATGAATGCTGTCTGGGACACTGCTAGATTGATATTCTAGTCTTCAACAGCCACATCGATAACCAGGACAACACACACACACTGGATAGACACATCAGGACACACAGTCGTCACACATTGCTTAGCTTCTATGATGGGATTATATAACATTGAACTTTTCACTTTTTCAGCACTGCACAACTACAAGGGAGAATGTAGATTTCCATGACAATACAATACTATTTAAAAGATAAAAATATATAATTCATATAATGGCAACACACTTTCTTTTAAAGTAAGCTATTCGTGCAAATTGAAATAATTCTTGCATTTAAACTTGTAATCCAAATTAAGGTTTAACTTGAAATTAATGTAGATAATTACTGAGAGAATTAGATTTTTGTAGTGTAGTTTACATGAGATGAGATCACTTGGGGTCACGTGATATGAAATAGTGAATCAGGATGTAGCACCATGAAAGCATAGTAAATTCGTAAATTAATGTCTTTTTACAAAATTATAAGCAATATTAAAATGTTTCTGCCTTCAAAATGTCTTAGAACTAACATATGCTAACATTTTTTATGTGTGTACTGTATGTTGTCACCAATAAAATCTTCGCGAGATTTGCACCTGCGAAACAGAAAAGTACTCATTAATATTATTATTAAAAATAATCTTTGGCATCAGTTACAAATGCTGTAAAATTTAAAGCTGAAGTTAGATATTACTAAATAAGTAATTTTCTTAGAATTGATTGCATAGTTTTAATATCTCATTTTAAAATTTCAAGTTAAAAATTGTTCAAGCTGAAAATTAAAGTAAAAATATTATGTTGTGCCATTTTTGTCTTTCTGAAAATTTTGTGTCCCAACCTAAAGAACAGCACACATAACATTTTTATATTTATGAATTGTCAAACTAAAATGTACTATATTGATATGCTTTTAAGAAATTTATAATATGTCTCTACAGCCATTAATCCCCTTACAATTTTATGTTGTATACAGAAAGCAGCATTACATTATACAGAAAATCAATATAAATTAAAAAATCTGTACAAGATAAATTGTTGCAGAATATGAATGAATTATCGTGTAATGTACAAATTTATAAACATAAATTCTAACATTTATATACATTAAGTACACTGTAAATGTTCTGTAAGTAAATATTTATATTTCCTGTCCTGACTAATTTTAGGTTTCAGTTAATTTACCTTTCTTTATCATGGATGCTTATCTGAATGAATTATTTTCATCGTAATATAGTGACAATGAATCATTTTATTCTAATACAGTGATAATTAACACTATACTTTGCATTGATATTAATAATAAATTACTTTGCTTATTGTGCTTTTTGTTTTCCAAGTTTCCATTCTTGGTTATAAAAATTAGTATTGAATTTAGAAATTATGTGTCACCGCTTTATTGCCACTGAAGCTCATACTCAAAAGAATATAATCATTTTCATGATTTAAGTCAAGCTTTTAGTTGTAAGAAGTTTAATTTCATGCAATGAAAGCACTTTTCTGTAGATAGTTTTAATACTTCCGAGCAAATATATGGAGTCAATGGAATAATGTTTGTTGTACCTTTTTTTTTTTTTTTTTTTTGTTTGTTTTAATTAAAAACTTTTCATTTCAAAGTAGTAATTTCAGTTAGACCTTACACATGACTTTCTTTGTGAGGCATTACATTTTTAAATCTTTAAAATTTTGTATGTCTTTAAGTTCACTGCCTCCCCCCCCTTTTTTCACATTTCTTTTTAGAGTACTATTCCATTAGAGTGGTGTCAGTCAAATATGAAGAAAAAATAATGAGAAAATAATGATACGACAACACGTCAAATATCATGACTCGAGAATTTAACATTTAAAATATTGCGAGTTGAGATTTCTATATGAAATATGGTCACTTATTATTTTTTTTGCCACATTTCACCATTTTTTTAATACAATGGGTTACACAATTTTGCAATTACCTAATGATGACAAGGCTGCCATTAGAATTGTTTCAGGACAAAGGAATAATTCATAACAAGAGACTTTGTTCTCAAAACCATCCGATGAAGTTAACTTTTGACTAAATTAAAGCTCCTACATGGCATTGTTATGTATATGTTCTCACTGTGAAAAAAAAATATGATGTGTAGACCACATGACTTCCTTGTACGGAATATTAAATTATACACATTTTTTCTTGCATTTAATTTAAGCTTATTGGATTGAATTAAATCTACTTTGTTGATAACACATAAACCACAATAGAATAAATGCACTCTTTAAAATTCACTTTATTTGTTTACCATAGCGACATTCTGGCACTATGTTGACTTAACAGCGTTACATTTCATTCATTTTATAACTCAGAATGCACAAAATTTATATCATCTTAAGAATTATCTAATTGTTGCCACATGTGCTGTTCAAATACTATAATAAATCTATAAGGATGTATAAAAGAAATTAAACAAATAAAAAAAAGAAAAAGAAACAGTTTTTCACAGATGATTCAGTATTTCTCATTATATTAATGCAGTTCTCACTTCACAACAAGGCAAAAATACATAAAAACTCAAAATATCTATATTAAAAATTATGAAGTAAATCTTAAACACTTATTTCCTGGAATAAATCCAGAATGGATTAAGCATGATTTAATTCACAATAAAATGAAGGTGTTATCTTTTTTGTTGCGAAGCTTAGTTTCTCTAGATTGGCAACAAATCCACTATTCTGCTGTTTCAAATGTAAACAAGCATGGCTGCCATGGTAATAAAAAATTAGGTTTAGCCACACTTAAACAACTTTTAAATTGTTCAGAATTCTACAAATATTGCTTGCAGATTTCCTAAAAAAAATAAAAACAAGCAAAAGATAAGAACCCATAATTCAATCACTTTTAAAGCAAAAAATGCACAATTTACAAACATATAAGAATAAAAAAATAGCTTACTGAGCCAAGTAACAGAGTGGATATATGTATATACATATATTTATATACTTTTGGTGCAGCCTTTTGCAACCAAAATACGAGGTGCACATCTACATGTTAAAACAGTTCTACATACAAAGTTTCAATATTCTGAGGCTACTCTTTTTTGAGGTATGCGAGATATATACATACATACGCCACAAAAAATTCTCTTCAGTAATTCATTTTTCAGTTTTATAATTTTTTTAGGGGAAAAGTGTCCTTTATTCTGTCCTTACATACAAATGTCATTCAAAAACATCATTAAATTGCATTTGATAGCGGTCAAAATGGATATTTTTGTTGAAATATGAGGCCTGAAATTTTTCCCAATTACAATTATTCTTTTTACTTCGTGCAAGGAAGTAAAAATGATTGAGAACCAAAACATGGTTTGAAGGCTCATGTCTTTCTTTCCTCAATGCTGTTGGTTTTATTTATCTGTAATGTCAAGAATTGACATCGATTGAATTTTGCCAACTTCAGTTAGAAATCAACTATGGCTCAACAATAGATTGGAATAACTACTTGAAAGTCTTTTCACAACAACAACAACAACAACAAAAAAAAAAGTGTTTTTTCGGAAGCATGGGTATTTGAGGGCTTATGCCAAACGAGCAAAGAATGTTTTCTGGTCACCGTTCGTGATCGTTGTGCTACAACATTGTTCAGTGGCATTAAGGAAAACATCGCGGATGGCAAATGTTATATTTTCAGACTGCTATATAGGACATAAGAAAGAGGAATTAAGAAATGCTGTGTATGAACATTTCACTGTGAATCACAGTTATAATTTTGTAGACCCTGAAAGTGGATGCCATATCCAAACTATGGAGCGATTGTGGGGCAGTAAATGGAGAAAATAACGTCAGCGGGACACTGCTTACGGCCATTTAGAGTCATATTTGATAAAAGTTTATGTGCTGCTGGTTATATTCAAAAACTGAAATTTTTTTCTGTAATGCTGAATAATTTTATTTAATTTTATGCCACTGTTAAGATTGAATTTTGTTTTTTTGTTATTTTTTACTTTTGTGTAGAATATTGCTGATTAAAAAATTAAAAAGAAAAATTTACTTTGTTTAAGAATGAAGAAATTTTGGGAAAAAAAATTACTTTTTACGGAAATAATTTTTTTAGTCTTTTCATCTCTATTATTATTTTATAATTTTATACTTGGCAACAATTGGTGGCCAAAAAAGGTGGCTTGTTTTAAACTGATGTGGCTCCAATGGAATAGTACCCTTTTTAGCTAGTATAAATATTTTCTGTCATTTATCATTACTTTTTTGTAGTGCCTAAAGCTAGAAAATAAAACACTATCTGATGTACAAGTTCGACAAGAGAAAGAATTGAGGAAATTCAAAGAGGGTGTTGCTGATATTCCTGCACTATTAAAGTCACATAAAGAAGAAGTAAAAGTTTTAGAATCTAATATTAACACACTTCGTAAGGAATTGAAGTAAGTGTTCTTTTATATTTTTATTAGCTATGGCATATTTTGTTTCTCTTAGTAACCTATTAATATTTAAATTCACATAATATCTTAGTATATATTTTAAATCCAAGATCTTAATAAAAGTAAAATCTATTAACCTTTTAACTCTCATGCCTGAAATAATCTCGGGCACAGCACTGGTATTCCAAAATGTCACGCCCAAATATTACTTGGGCTAATTTTTAGTCCAAAGGGATTTGAATCCCGAAGGACTATTAGTTTCGTTTTGGCATTTTGCGTCGGATGGATAAATGTCGGTTCACTTTTCAAACTGTTGCCATAAAATGTTAGAGTCCTGCATTATATTTGAAGAAATTAAATAATGAAAATCTGCGTAAATGTATGTATATTTCTCACATTGTCATAAAATAACGGTACATAGAGTCATCGAATTTTGAATAACGTAATCCTCCAACGAATATGAGCATGTGGAAGACCAAATTTGAAATTTGTTTTATGATCGATTTCCTATTTTTTAAAACTTTGACGAATTTTTGAGTAACAAGCTCAAGGATTTCAAAGCGTGCAATGGCAACGTTGTGCAGAAAAAACATTTTTATCTCCAGCGCGTGAGTCTCTGTATCGGAAATTCTAAAGATATGCTCGTTTTAAAACTATTTTGCGATATTGCTGTTGCACTGGATCTTATGGTTTAAGTGCGAGGAACATGATATTTAATAAAGAAAGGTAACACACAAAATGTTAAAAAACGCCCCTTTGGACGTAATTTAAAATCTGAAACATTTCAGATTTTTTCTTTTTTTTTTCTTTTCTTTTTTTTTTTTTTTTTTTTTTGAGTGCATCATATTATTATACCCGAATATATATCGTGAGAAGTTTATTTCGGCTTCAGTTCAACAGATGGCAGCATTTGACTAAAGGTTTCAAAGGATAGAGGTTAAAGTTAAAAGTGCACGGCATATTTTTGATTTTTTGACTTTGAGGCAAACATTTTATTTTTGGAATAAAAAAAAATTGACAATTTATGCACCCAAATCATCAAAATAACTTGACAGTTCAAAGGTTAATTGTCATATTAGAAAAAAATTAACTAGAACTCAGATTTTTTGTATGATTTAGGAGCTTCTATTTGTATTAAGTTAAAATCTAAGTGGCTGAGATATAGAAATTGAGATATAAACAGCAGATATTACTAGAAAATACGTTTAAAAACTATCATTGAATGTTTCAGTCTTTTAAGTGCAAAATATTTGAATTGTAATACAGTCAAAAGTCGTTAATCCGGACTCGTCGGGACTTTGGCGATTCCGGATTATAGATCATCGGTTTAAATCTGGTAAGATGGCATGCAGAAATTACAAAATTAAAAATATGAAACCGTAATTTATGAAATAAAGAACAATTATGATCTAAAGGGTATCAAAATTTACAAAAAGAAGAAGCTTAATATTTATTTGTTTACTTTATTAAACATTTCTTTCAATGTAAGTTGTTTAAGTTGCTTCGTTTCATGTGATAATACTTTCTCTTTAATTTCTATTAAACAGACATAATTTCTTGTTTAGTTACAAAGTTCCGCTGTTCAAGTCCTATAATTGCTGTGTTGAGAATAATTTGTCAATCGAAATGTTTTAGTTTTCAATAACCTCTGGGTCACTTTCTTCACTATCGGAAGCGAATTATAATGACAAGGAACTTGATTTAAATCATATCAAAGACGGAGTACATCAAGATGAAATACTACACTTAGTAAGGAATTATAAGCCAAATAAAATAAAAACATCTGCCTTGAAGATAAGGATAGTGCTGATAGATCAACTTCCAATTCACTGCGCGCGGCGGCATGAAATTGATAAACAGATTTCGGATTTCGAAACATACTTTCGCTTTTTAGATCCTTTACATAATAGTAAATGTATATCGGAAATTCTATTTGACATAATCGAAAGTTCAAGTTTACTTTTATAAAATTGCTCTAACAGTCTGCAAAAAATAATAAGCCGGATCCAATTCGAAGATTAAGGAACAACGCAATCTGCAACATTAACTGAATTAGATAATTTTAGCTTAGGTTATACCGACCATTACACATTAAACGCACATGCGCACAAGCATATTCGCAGCCGTAAGAATCTTACGTGCACTCGTAAACGCCTGTGCGCATGCATGAACGCGACACATGCGCAGAAAGTTTGTAGCTTTGAGGTCCGGATTACAGATCATTCCGGATTATGGGTGTCCGAATTAACGACTTTTGACTGTACTCAATAGAAAATGGTTAAAATTTAAGTATTAGTGCTCCTGAATTGAAAACTGTATGATTTGTATTTATTTATGTATTTAATCTCAGTAAAAATACGAGAAGGATACTTAATTTTTTTAAATAATCATAAATTTAATGATTAAAATTCTTATCTTTGATTTTTAATTTTGCTTTCTTTCTAATATGAAATTTTTGGTATTTTTCTTTTTTTAAGGAGTTTTTCTCCTATGTAATGTAATATAAGATTTTGCTTATCAATAAAATTATCATTCCAGTAATCCACCAAAGAAAAAAGCATTATATAAGAATATTCTTAAGTTACAAAGCAGTGAAAGTCTAAGCTTGATAATGATTTTAATAGTTAGACAACTTTCTAGATGTTCATTAGTAAGAATTCTGTATATACTGTATTTTCAACAGAAATTTTATTTATAGGGATTGCCAGAAGGAATTGAAATCAAGAAATGAGATAGTTTTAAAGAAAGATCAACAATTTGATAAACTAAATGTTACGTTTAAAAGAAATGAGAAAGCATTGCGAGAAGCAAATCGTGAAAATAAAGAAATTAAATCAGAAAAAATAAAACTTGATGATGAAAACAAAAGACTAATAGCTGAAAATGAAGAGCTTAAATTTAAAAATGAACAAGAGCACAAAAAAACTCAGGTTAATTTCTTTTTACTTATTACATTCTGTTATTGAGAAAATAAATTTAAACTACATGAAGTAACACTAAGAAAAATGATATATTCTGAATATTTTTTAATCCTTAATTTTGTTTAAAAGATACAAAATCAGACTTCTTTTCCAAAGTTTGCTAAAATTCAAGAAATAATTAAATAATTTTTAAAGCAAAGAGTTATAAATTTTAGCACTCGGAGATATTTTTGTAGGAATATGTACTTGTCTTCAAGAAACTTCTCAGCTCACTAATATTGCTGAATATGTAGTAATTTATAAAATTCTTAATATTTTTTAGGCAAAATATTGACTTAATGATTTAAGAAGTAAAGGCCTGTGTAAAACAGTCTATTTGAACATCCAATTGAAAATTCTGTGAGCATTCTGAAAGCCTTCTGCATAATGATAAATTGCAAATCATTTTTTCCAAAGTATAAATTGAAATGAAAATTTTACTGTTTTCTCAAATATTGCAGGTATAATATATGGATGAATATTAATTCGAATTCTCACATTGATTTTTGTTTTAAAATTTTTGCTGTTATCTCATCTCATGAATGAATTTCAACTTCCAAATAATTACTCTTAAAAACTGTTATATAAAGCTAAATGGCTGCATTAAATGTCTGTGCAATTTTTAAAAGTAAAAATAGAGGTAGTAAAAAGAAGAAAAAGAAAAATTCACATTTGCATATTAAAAATGTTATGAAATGTATTAAAATTTCTAATGCAAAGAATACAATTTTTTTTTTCTTTGAGGTAATATTTTGTCATATTGGAGTTTGAAATTACTATTTCCTACCATTAAATTTGTTTGCAAATGGTCACGTATTAACAATGGTCTGAACTATGATCTTACATACTTAATTTTCAAAAATGTCTTTTTGCATTGGTAAATACTCTCAAATGCAGATATTCATCCCCATGCATGTGATTTTATTTGAGCATATTTATCTTCTGAAAGATGTTTATAAAAATGAGTTAGATCTTTTCCTTAAACATAATTTTTAACATATCATCATTTTGCAAATGCCACTTTCAGTGAAAGGTCTGATGGAAGCTTCTCAAATATACATTCAAATAGATTTTGAAACACTGAAATATCTTTTGCACTTTTATCAAGATCTACGAAATGCTGTTTTAACTGTAGTATAAGTTCAGAAAATATATCCTGTGCACATTTTGAGGGGAATGGGGATTTTGCTAATAATACATTACAAAATCTTTAATCCGAACGTCCATAATCTGGACCTCAAAGCTGTAAACTTTCTGCGCATGTGTAAATGCATTATGCATGTGCATAATATCTTTTACTTTAGACGTATTATGCACATAGTACCTTTAAAACATTCGTAAACGTATTATACATATGCATTTACGCATGCGCATAATACATTTACGCATGCGCGTTAAATGTATAACGGACGGTATAAGCTAGGCTAAAATTATCTAATTATCTATTTCAGTTAATGTTGCAGATTGCATTGTTCCTTAATCTTCTAATTGGATCCGGCTTATTATTTTTTGCAGACTGTTAGAGCAATTTTATAAAAAGTAAGCTTGAACTTCCGATTATGTCAAAAAGAGTTTCTGATTCTGGAGCTACCAAAGGATCTACAAAGCAAAAGCATGTTCGATGTACTGCTTCGGGTAGTGAAGAAAGTGACAGAGAGGTTATTGAAAACGAAAAAATTTCGATATGAGAATTCAAGTTGCAATGATGCTAAATAATGTAAAAGCATAATTAAATAAATAATAATAATTATAAATGAACTAAATTAGTTCATTTATAATTATTATTATTTTTAACTCTTATGCTGGTATTTCTTACTGTGCAAACATTCATAATCAAGAGTAGTATGCTTTATTGTTTTCATTCAGAAAACATGCAGTTTCACGTCTTATTTTGATGGGCTAAATTTAGTGTGCACAAATTGTTCTGAAACTGTTAAATAATTTATTATGGAATGATATCTATTCTTCATATGTGATGCATATGTTTACATGCATTTTATACACCATATAATTTTGTAGAGCTCGAGAAAAGTGGTGAGAAAAATCACACCCAGAGTACTTCCATCGCAGACTTATTCATGGTTTAAATACAATAATAAATATGATATAATTATAGAAATTAAAATAAAATGTCTGATTTTAGGAATTTATTTCTGCTTTGAAATTCATGAAATGTGATAAATTTTGAATTAAGAATTTGCTTTGCATAAACTGAAAATAATGGCTAAATTATTTTCTGTGCATACAATATATTCATGTGGGCGTTTCCATTTGCTTTTTTCCACTTAACTAATCTTTTTTTTTTTTTTTTTTTTTTTGTGTGTGTGTGGTGTAAACTTTCTATGAGCTTTTATGAAGTTTAGTTTATAAAATATGAATATAGATTTTAAGTTGCATCAGATTCTTGATGTAGAAAAAACTACTTAGAAAGTACTGATATAGAATAACAGATTAGTTTTTGAGTGTTGATGTTAGATATATTAATGAAAAGTTATAGTAGTAGGCATTTTTATTATATTAAATTAGGCTTAATAAAATTAGTTTTGATACCATCTTATGTGTATGTGTTGTATGCAACACATACCTATAAAGATGTATGCCTATAAAGTTTTGAAGACGGCGTTATTAATTTTTTAACTCAATCATACAATAAAATCCTTATTAATTATTTGAAATATATAATTTTGAACTGAATCACAGATTTTCCTTAGAATTAGAAATATAAAGCAAAACCAAGTTACATCTGTCAAGTTCTCTATTTTTAGCCTTCAGAAGAGGACTACATGCTGTGAAGTGTGCTCAGCATTTGACAATATATTTTACGCTGGCAAAGGAAACTTTTTTCTCTTCCCTTTTTTCCTTCCACATATGAGAATGGATGAATTTCCCCCCAGTTACATGCAATCACATTATCATATGCATTCATTTTACTTTTGTTAAAAATCATGCCTTTTTTTTCCACTTTGAGGTTTATGTTTTACTGCACACTTAGTTTAGAAGTTAGCTTGTTATTACTTCTGGGTCTTTTTTAAAAATTCCATATAATGATGTATTAATCTATGGGATTAGGCAGCGTATCTTTTTTTAGAAATTTGAAACATGAATCAAAATGAAATATAGATGCTTTTAAAGAACCTAATTCAGTAGATTTTTCTCTGGTAAAGAAGTTACTAAAAATAATAAGTCTTAATAGCATGTGCATTAAGTATAAAGATATAAATGCAAGGCATTTTTAAACTACATACTGCAAAGAAATTAGCTAACTAATAGTTTATAATGTTCATGAAAGGTTTTCTGTTGCCTTAATCAGTTGTTTCATATTAAAAGAACTTCACAGATTTTTCCAACCACTTCAGTATTGGCTGCTGTTTGCCCTGGCTTGGTTTCCTTACACAAGCAGCCCTGTCTTGAAACTGCTTCATCGATCATTTGATGCTGTGACGATAGTTCTTTACCAAATTTTAGGTGAAAATGTCTTTGAATGATGATAAACAATGATGTTTTGGTGTATTCCAAAACACAGTAGACTTTCTCCTGCATGCATAGTACCATTTTGATTAACACTGCTTCCAGCAGTAATTTCATAACCGGAAGATTTTTTGTTGTTGTTGCCAGATAGAACTTGTATAATTTGTTTCGGCTTCATAAATCAGTTACTGAATTTGTACTGTGCTGTTCTTTTTGTCCCATTCAGTTTGAAACATTCTGTATATTTTACAACGTAAGTACACAAATAATATAAACAAATTTTGAAACCATATAATGATAGTATTCATTCATTAATATAATTTTTTATGCATATGGTTTTAAAACATCATACTCTGTTTTAAAGTTCAGGATACATCTCTGAAAATTAAATAATAAACTGTGAAGTTGAAAATCAAAAAAAGCAAATCTAATAGATTGATATGGTGGGTGCTTTTTAAAGGGCTTAGAATTTCAAAGCAATTTTTAATTTAAAAGGAATTTCATAAGCTTGATTGTAATGTGTGTGAAGATGCAGGGATTTTTTTCAGTCTAATTATTTATTGCAGGCACATTTTTAAAAATTTGTTATTCAATATAATTTTTTAGTTTTGTACCTCACTAAAAATCAGCTCATAACCCACTTTTTGAGAAATAAAGGTTTTATTATTAATTTCATATATTTAATAATTAAAAAATTTTTTATTAAATATTTTAAAAATAAGGGCATACTTAAATGTTAAGACTATGTTCTGCTTCTAGAAAATGACAAATGTAATTCTGAAATTAGAAGAAAATTTGAGCAACGAAAATTGTCTTAAAGAACAACTCAAAGATAATCTGAACAAACTGCAAAAAAAATATGAAGAACTCTCACAAAATGAGGTAACTGAAAATCCTTTTCTAATTAAGTACATGTATGCTACTAACTGAATTAATGCTTGTGCTTTTCATTTGAATTAAAATTATTATATTAAAATGAAAGCTATTAATTTTTTTAAATGTACTTAACAGTGATATAGGTCCAGAAAAGATCTCATTTTTTTCCATTGGAATTCTGGAATAAATATAGCTTGATTAAATCTATAAACTTTTTTTTTTTTTTTTTTTTTTTTGGTGTGTGTGTTGTGTTAGCAAGTGCAAGAATTCAAGAATTATTTCAGTGACCTTCTGTTTCAGGTACGATCAGCTTTCATGTAATAAATTATTTATAGTGAGGGAACTAGTCTGTGAAAATTTTGATTCTACATGAATCTGAAATGATTGATCTCAAGAGAATTTTAAATCATTATACAGCAGTTATTATTATAATAATGAACTACAGTTGATATGTAGCTATCTCCAGTATGATAATAAAGGTATTATTAATTTTAAAAAATAGGTAGAAAACTCATTACTTTCTTATTATCCACAGTCCCCTCCTCAAAGTTCACTGGACATTGTCTACTAATATTTCATCAAACTAAGATGTGAAAGACAACAGCAATTTTCAGAAATGGTGCCACATAAAACAACATTCAAATAACAAGCAGAACCTCATAAAATAACATTCATATAACAAAATTATTGCAAGAAACATCCATAATGAAACACTTTTTTGTTGTTGTTGTTGTTGTTTACACGTATACAGCAATCTATGTCTTCTGTCTATCTGTATTCATATACACAGCAGGGGTGGGGGGAATTCAGCACACAACTTGATGCTATGCTCACTGCTAATCTTCTCATATACAGAGATCTGCTTAAAAAAATTAAAAGAATTATACAGATTTGACATTGCACACATTTTGATTCCTAAAATTCAATTATTTATCAAGTACAATGTCATGGTATGAGAGTTTTTGCATTCTGTACTGCAAAACACCATATTTTTGAAGAAATGCAACTCTTTCTTTTCATCAGTTGGTGAACTTCACAGTCCCTTAATGCTTCCATATAAAAACTTAATTTAAAAAAAGCCTTGTATTTTATGAATTCATTATTAAACATTTTATTAAATACTTGATTTAATTTGAATGTGATATTATGAATTTTAGTTAAAAATAAACAGTGTAGCAAATAATGAGACTCTTATTTATTTATTTATTTATTTTTAACTATCTGTAAAACAGATGGGTCAAAATTGCTTTGCATTTTAAAAGTTAGTTTGTCATCTGGCTTAGGCAGATGATATTTAGTGCTGAGAATGAAGCAAGTGATTTTCAGTGCGGCATTTTATATTATTCAGTTAAAAATCATTTAAACATTACATACTGCATGGCAAAACACTTTCATACCTTCCAGTGCAATATTTTGTCTGAAAACAAGTGTGTGTACTCGGCTATCCCATGTTCCCAGAATGTCCCTTTGTGATAATTTTTTCTTGTTAAAACTAAAACTGCATTTTAGTCTTAACAAGAGTTTAATTTTTAAGTTTTAAAGAAAAGTTTTCCCCTGCTTTTCTTATATTGAGGAGGTAAAGAACTGTGACATCTTCTGTTACAGCCACACTAGAAAGAAATTATGACAAATATTTTCTTTTGTTACCTGATCATGATATTATTTGCAATAATGCAGGAGAATCTTATTTAATTAACATATAGCAGTTTCCTCCTTTAAGAAAAATACACTTTTATTATTTAATTATCAGTAATGACACAATTGTGCACTGACAGGAAGATAACAGAAGCACTCGGTTAAATATCTTGAAGACAACCTTTTGAGTACAACTGCTTTTATTAAAACTTTCTGTTTATCTCATTCATGAATTACATATCCATCTATCCATTAAATTTTATTTTAAATATTCTTAGACTATAGTACCTATTCATCATATAGATTTGAAGGGATATGTTGATCCTTCTGCTAATGTAATAGCTGACATGTAGACATCACAAGTTTCTGTAATCATTCTCCAGGTATATCAGGTGGTACATCTGTAATATCAGAAAATAGTTGAAGCATATCGAAGGAAAGCTTGTTTCCCGTCTAAACAATGATTTTAAGTTTACCGAGAAACATTGTGACAGCTATAACATTTCTCATAGAGAAAGACAAGAGCACCATCTAGGCGACATACTTGCAATTAAAAATTTTTGTACTAAGATTTCTATAAAAGCTTGGGATTTGATATATTTCAAATGCTAATCATATTACTGTATATTGAAAATTCTCTGAAACACAGATATTTGATGATTTCTAACTTTTAGATAAGTTTTTATATTACAGACTCTAGTATCTGCAGGTTAATTTTCTTCATACTATCTCTTTAAAGAGGCTTCTGTGTCACCAATTTTGGCACACTTAATCGCCAAATTTATAATGTTCAACTTATTTGATTTAGTGAGTTTTAAATGTTATCAAAGCCTTATACAATAGCTATTTTAATGAAGTATTGTTTTCTTCAATTTTTCCATTACTGATCAGTACTAAATAGATTATAAAGACATAAACTGATAATTTTTTAATTTAAGTTAACTAAAAAAATTTGGGGGGGGGCAAGAATTAAATTTTCTTGAAGCATTTCATGCACATTAACAATTATTCCTTTTACTACCTGACTTCTAATCCAAATTTCCTCTTAACAAAAATCTTATCTTTTTGCAATATCAGTATTTCTTTAGCTTTGAATATGTCTTAGCTGCCATAAAAGCATTAATCTATGGCATATCTAAAGAGTTAAATATTATGCAGCATCTAAAATTGTTAAAAAGTTTAGTAAATCAAAATATGAAGGCATTGCATAAATTTCAATGGTAATTGGTATTTCAGGTTGTTATGAAAGCTCTTCAGTGTGTTCAAGTTTCCGTAGGAACACAAACAGATATTGAAAAAGTTCCTGTCTTCTTTGATAAACAGACTTCACCTTCAAAATATGAAAATTTAAATGTGTACTATATATCAGCGTTAGATGAAGAACAAAATGTATGTGAGCATTTCTTTGCATCTTTTTATATTTAATTATGTGAATGCATAAGGAAACAGTTTTATTCATTTTAAGCATTTATTGAAAATTAATTAATTTTTAATACCATATAATTATTGGAGATTTATTAAATAAATATAAAATATATGGAAAGAAACATTTAATTAATTGAGAACAAAATGGAGAAAATTGTAAATGGAATTTATGAGATTAATTTAGTAAAGTAACCTCCATTTTGCAATAAATAAAAAATGCATATAGATACAATTTTTTATTAACATCTGAAAAGTGCAGCTGCATTCTCTTTTTTAATATAGTGGTAAAGTCATTTACGTGACAACTGTGATATAAATTCAAGTGCTTATTGTAGTGTTTCATCAGCTTACAAATTCAAATACAGCCAGCTGGGATTTCAACCGACCTTTTACAGCATTTTGAAGATCCTTATAGTTAGTACTAAAAGTGCTGTTCTCCATTGATTGTTCCATTGTTCTCCATATCTCCTTGCCATTGATTATTGTTTTATCACAGGATTCGTATCTGCCACCCAAATCTTATTATGAGTTACTATTCTGTTCAAAAACTCCTCCCCTTCTGTGTTGTAATGACAAAGAAAGCCTAAGGTAAGCTCACTGGGTTTCTTAGATCTCTGTGAGAATTTTCAGGATCTGTCAAATGCAGAACTTCTGGTGACTTCATTTTTAAGTGCGTATTTTGCGTAAAACAGTCTGAGAAATTTTCGTAATTTTTCAGAAAATTCGGAAGTTTTCATGAACTTTGTTATTTGAATCCTCAGAGAGATCATTACTCACTACAAAAAGCCTATCGCTTCTAAATTCATCATGAATGTTTGTTCTTTCTGCTTTGAAAAATCTGATCTGTTGATGCACAGTACCTTCCCTCATAATGTTTGGGCTATAGACACTGCACACTTCATGATGAATGTCTGCAGCTATCGGATTTTTTCGTAATGAAATGTTATTTTGTTACCTTGCATTTGCTGGGATATTTGATAGTAGCACACATTTTGTGATGTTATAACCAGCAGATGCATGGCAGTATGATGCTCCCAGCAGTGGAAAAACTTAATGAAATCGTGGATTACATACATGATATAATAAAAGTGGCACTTCAACTATTACTACAAGTGCCATGCCACAATGGCAGTTACTCTCCAAATTATCCTCATATTAAATTGAAATATTTCTGTACAGCATCTCTAAATGTAACTTAATTCTAAATGTTACTTGTGTAAATTAACATAATTACATTTAAAACATTTAATAATATTTATATGAAGTATAATAAACTTAATGCACATGTCTTTAATGAGAAATATATTTAAGATATATATTAAATAATAGCTGCTAATTGTCCCATTTTTGAATCAGATTTCCTGGTCTGCCATTAGATCATTGAATATCCTGGTTTTTAATTTTAGTCTTTACTACGGCAAAGAACTGCAAAGGAAAACGTTTCACAATAATAAATGAAATTTATAGAACTAATAGAACTTAAAAAGAGGAAATTCCATTCTTCTACCCCTAGTGATTTTTAGCTTAATTTTTTTTATTAAATTTTATTTGACCTGAATTGTTTTAATCTTCTGTAGACATTTGTAGAACTTTTTTGAAGTTTCAACCAATGTTTAATCAGTTAATACTGGTATTTAATTATTTTTCTTTATGTCAATATATGGTACTTTACTCACACAATAATATATTTATTAATTATTAATTTATTTTCATCACATTTGAAATAATTTTGTTTGATGAAATCTCTCCTTCCCCACTCAGGATTTTTCTCAGTATAAGAGAAACAAAACTGTAAAATAAAATTAGCTGAAAAACATAACACTTAGAATGATATTAGTATCAAGATATTATATCAAAATCATATTACAAATAATTCATTAATCTAAATTGTGTATTATAACAGGAATTTAAGTCAATTTGGATTTCTTTTGAAATGATGTTGCCATATAGCTGAAAATCTCCTAAAAACACATGGTTTAGCATGAGGTTGCTCACTGCTTTTGTATTTCAAGGTTAGCAACTACGGTGTATGTAATTTTTTTGTTCCATATATGTCCATCCATTTTATAACAGTAGCCAAGTGCTTTGCCATAATCAAATAAGCCAAATGAAATGATTTTAAATTGTCTTCTGATTTACAGATTTTGTTACAAATTTAGAGGAATTCTGTAGTCTGGATTAGTCTGGATATAACTATAGTAGATTATAATAAATCTTCACTTGTAATTTCATCAGAAGATTATAAATTTTTTGTGCAGTGAATAGAAACTGAATTTTGTTACTTTTATTTAGAATGGCCTAAAGTCTATCAGTACTCAGAATGTAAAAGGTAACATCAATTTTATCATGCTCAAGAATGCAAGCATTCAAACAGATGGCTGTATGAATATCCAAAATTTATCTAACTATCAGTATGAGGAATTTTCATGTTCATCGAATGATTCAAGTTCACACAAGACTAATAGAAGGATGCGAACAGGTTTTGCCTTTACTCCTTTGAAACCACTTCAGTCATTTTCTACAAAAAATAATAGAGAAGATATTACAGAAGTATTTTTTCCACTTTCAGATGTATATGATATAAATAAACCGCTTTCATCATCTAATAACATTTACTTACAGGCTGAAGATCTTAATGATAAGAATGCATTGCAAAATTTGTCGTTAAAGAATAAATTACACTTGCAAGATACAGTAAATTTAGATTATATAAGTGAAGGAATATTTGATACTAATACAATATTAACAGGAAAAAGTGTGAGGCAATCTTTAATACATTGCGATAAAAAGTATGAGAAACATTTTGCTTCTACCATATCCTTGAAAGAAGGGAAGTCAGCTGAATGGATAGATAGAGATACATTATGATATTGCATGCATTGTTTAAGCAGAAATATATATCATTATCCTGCATAGTTTTCTTTAAATATTGTTATAAACTAATGTACTTTGCAGAAATATTCTTAATCATATTAAATCTGCTATTAAAGTTTTTATATCAAATGCATTATGTGTTTGTAATATACTGTAATCCTATTTTATACAGTAATATTCATATTTTTAATATGCTTCAAAGGAAACTCAGAAAAGTTTTTTTATAGCTTTTCCATTGTCTTGGAATTTGTACAGTAATTTTGTTTCACTATGTGTTGATATTCCACTAAAGATAATCCGAAACTAATTCTATTGTGTAGTTCCAAGTTCTATTTTTAATAATAAAATATATTATTAAAATTGCACTAGTTTGCTGTTGTGTTATTTATGCTAGTTTCAATATATTTATGACCTTTTGTTTCATTTGTGAGCAAATTTCATTATTATGCTATGGTATAAAAGTATAAATTGGAGACTTACATTAGTACAGTCAAATCCGGTTAATTGGACCACCGAATAATCGAACCAGCCACTTTTTCGGACCAAATCTTAAAGAACCGAAACAAATCATATGTACATGAGCCTAATATCTGGACCAAAATTCCATTTAATCGGACCAAAAAACGTGAGAGTGAATAAGAAACAGAAACCACAAGTCGGCCGTGTACAGCGGATGTACAGGTGGTCTGCGACATATGGGAGGATCTGTAGTTGTGGCTCTCCAGGAAGATGCTTTATGAAAGGTCAGGAATTCCTTAAAGTACATGACAAAAGCAAAACCGGTGGGAGGTGAACATACGCACCATTTTCTTTGACCTGCGCCTCCGAGTTTCGAGGAAATGAACAATAGAGTGTCCGGCTCCACCTGAAAGGAATTCCGGCCTGTCAATCATGATTAAAGTTTACACGAGAAAGGATCACGTTTTTTGGATGATTTTAGTGCCAAAGCTTTGAATGGCGAGCATTTAACTCCCTCTTGACCTCAACAACTTGAACCCGAAACACCAAGGTTTCTTCAGACCACTTTAGTCAGTCAACTGTGCGCATGTCTAATCTTCCCTGCCAAAATGCTATGACGGGACTTGACATTAGCTGAAAAAATTGGTTTCCTGTATAAGATCAAGCAACACCATGAAACACTTGTCAGCATCAGTTGGTGAAAATAACCGGATTGGCAAAGACTACAATTTCGTGCTTGATAAAACAAGAATAAGAATGTGACATAATGTGTCTTCTGTGAGAAGATCTGTGAGATTCTGTGAGATCAATTCTGTGAGAAGAATGGACATAATGTGAAGGACGAGGAGGAACTTCCAAAAAACGGAAGCGTGAAGGCAAGGACCCAGATGTCGATGAGGCCCTTAATGAATGGTTTGCTATTGTTACTGGACAATCTGTGCAAGTAAGGGCCCAATGTTAAAATGCAAAGCAGAAGAATGTGCTAAAAAGCTGGCCCACGATTACTTTAAAGCTACGGACAGTTGGTTGTCTCGATGGAAATCTATATATGACATAAAATTCAAGAAAGCACATGGCGAGAAAGAAAGTGCTGATAGTGCAAATGCTGAAGAATGGAAATGAATAAAACTGCCTGATTTTTTTGAAAATTTTTCAGCAGATGACATCTACAATGCTGATGAGACTGGGCTGTATTATTGTGCTACACCGGACAGCATGTTAAAGTTACAAACATGTTGCACTCTGTGGCTCCAAAAAAGCGATGGATCGCGTAACTGTTTTGTGCTGCTCAAACATGTCAGGAACGGACGAGAGGAAGCTGTTGGTTATAGGAAATAGCACTAAGCCTTGCTGCTTTAAAAGACATAGGATGGAGAGTTTACCAGTTGTGTATCGTGCGAATAGAAATGCGTGGATGACCTCTGAACTTTTTAAAGAATAGCTGAAAGATTGGGACGGAGAGCTACAATGCCAGTCGAAAAATGTGCTGCTTCTTCTTGACAATTGTGCAGCACATCCTCATTTAGATTGCTTGATGAATGTCCAACTGGAAATTTTACCTCCCAGGACCACAGCTTTGGTCCAGCCTATGGATACAGGCATCATAAAAAATTTGAAGACCCTTTATCTTGTAAGGTTGGTTAATTACATCCTTGAAGCAATTGAAGAAAGTTTTCTGACCTCATCATTAAAAGCCAGTGAAGTCAGTGAAAAGGTCAACATCATACAAGCAGTTACATTTGTGGCCGACAGCTGGCGAAAAGTGAGCAGTGAGAATATTCAGAACTGTTTTTCTCACTGTGGCTTTAAGCACTTGGTTTTGGAGATGGATGTAGACATGCTCATTGAAAGTGAAAGTGATGATTTACCTGTGGAACTTCAACAGGTACAAAAGTGAGAAGAATTTTTATCCATTGACAACGAGCTTCAATGCTACAATGAAAATGAAGATTACGAATCTGCAGTCGTTGCTCGAGTTGCAGCAAAACACACGACAGCATCAGAAGACCAAGAAAATCATGATGATGATGCCACTAATAAGTTGATGCAAGTGACAACACAGGATGCGAGGAATGCATTGAAACTTTGCGTCGGTACTTCATGCAGGTGGGAAATGAAGGCAGTCCCATTGCTGCGTTAGATGTTTGTGGTGATTTCTTTCACGTGCAATCTGTCAAAAGAACACGTCAGATCACATTGGATAAGTTCTTCAAATGTTGACTGGAACTTGGTAAAAACTTGTTTTTATTCTGCTTCACATGTTGAGTATTGTGGAGATTGCTTCTTAGAATTTGTTTCTAAATTAATTTTCTCAATGAAAAAAAGTTCGACTGTATTTCTTTTTTGTACATATATGTTTGCCATACGTGTGTATCGCACATAAAGTTCATAATTACATTTTAGTACACGATTTACATGTACATTTACTGTTTGCTACTTATAGCACATCCTGTCTTACAACATAGGACATGTTCGTGTAATCGGACCAGTCTTTTATTAGGACCAAAACGATCGCTTCCCGATGTGGTCCAATTAACCAGAATTGACTGTATTGCATAAAACTACTATTTAACATAATGAAAAAATAAAAAATGAAAAGTGTATATTCAGCTATGTTTATAGAAATGATCATCTAACATCTTTTGCTCCCAGCCTATCATATATCATATGTTTCAGTTGGGCTGACTGTATCAAATGTGATATGCAAATGAAATGTCACTGATGACCCACCGTATCATGGCTCATGTGCTGAAATAGAATGTTTCATTTTTACATTTTAAATGCCCATAAATGATGTGAGAGTACTGTGAATCTTAACTCAATGAAATGTCTTGAGTCCTAATGTTGTTACTATGAGGATTATTTAATATTTTATTCTATAAATCTAAAACACATAATGCTTACAATGCATGTTCAGGATTTAGAGGTGTTTTATGTAGTGCAGACAGCATAAATATTTGTATATAAGTATAAAAATAGAATGTAATAGGCACAGATAATTAAATTCTTAAATTTTTTATTTCATTTTCTAACAGAAGTAATTTATATATGTAAATGTAATCATTATTACTAATCCTACATTTTAATTTAGTTAAAAAAATTATTTTTCATTATAAGAATTTTGCTTTATATTATAAAAATGACATTTAGTTAATACATATGCGAGAATTCAAATAGCTGGATTGAAAGCAGATTTAATTAGAATTATTTTTCCATGTTAGGCTTAACTGCAAATTATGCTAGGGCACACAGTGAAATGCAGTACTCCATGGTCGTAGATCTAAAGGGAAATTTCAATATCCCTGGGAAGAAGTTAAAGAAAACAAAGCTAGAAGTTAAACAAATGCTAACTTTATTCATTAATTGTATGAAATTATAGAAAATTTTAATTATTTATTTGTGCACAATAATGTATGCATATTCTTTCTTGCATTCCTGAATGTATGTTATATAGTTCTGAATAGCTGCAGTCTTTTGCATAATGCCTCATGTATTGTAATCTGATATTCTGACTCAAATGAAGTGAGTGTATTATATAATAAAAAACAGTATGTTCTAATTAAGAATTGCTCTGAACTTTAAATATCTTTTAGTTGGCCAGTAATTTAAGAATTACTTCAGAAAAAGGAGAAACTATAGTAAAATCAAGGAAAGAATTTAAATGTCTGTATTAGCATAGATTAGTCTCCTAACTTTTTATGTATTATTTTTGCTTGAACTATTATCATGTATCAATTGTAACAGTAGAGACTATTTTCCTTAAAAACATTGTATCATCAATACTTTGAAATATTGCTCAAATTTCTAATTTTATAAAGAAGCAAATCAGGTCTCTTTTTGTTTCAAAAGGGCCTTTTAATGCTCAACTTCTGTTATATGTTAAATTTTTCACCAATTATTAATGTCCAACTAGTAAGCAAAATAAAATTATTTTGATTAGGAATAAAATTCTGCTCAATTTTGACTTATGTTATTGAGTGTAGTACCTTAATAATTTTTATTTTTAATGTCTAATGTTCCACCTGAAATTTTTCTGTGCAAGTAAATATTTTTTAGTATCTGTATGATCCTAATTTTGCAATCTCACTTCTTTCTACAAAATTTTTTTCTGTGCATAATTCTAGTAATTTTAAGTATTAATCACAGTTTAACTTTGAAATTCTGCTGTGTATAAAGAAGTAAATGTAATGTATATTTTAGTGTAGGTGATAGAAAGTATCTAGAAGCTACAAAATAATGTACACAGATAGATATTAATATACATTAACACAGTGAACAAATATTAATTTAGAAGTCAAACAACAAAAATCAACGTTATATTTTCAAATTTTCACAGCACTAGTTTCGATGGTTTTATCAAACCATCATCCTCAGCTGCAAAAGCGCAAGTGAACGAGATAAGATATAATGATTAGGTAAGATAAGAAAGCCTAGACAGGAGATAAGCCATTGGTGCCATCTGTTGATGAAACCAGAATTAAAACATAATTTCTTTAAAGGCTGAAGGCAAAGATGGATTGGAATTAGGGTCGTTAACTAGAACAGAAAGATTTTTTTGAATGTGAAATGCCTCTAGAAAATCCAGTTTACTAATGGAAGATGTTTTTGAATAATTTTGGCTTGTTCCCTGTCCAGGCTTTCTTATCTTAACTAATCATTATATCTTATCTTGTTCATTTGCACTTTTTCAGCTGAGGATGATGGTTCGGTAAAACCATCAAAACTAGTCCTGTGAAAATTTGGAAATATAATGCTGATTTTTGTTGTTTGACTTCTAAGTTAACAGATATATATGTTCAGCTGTCCAAAAACTTTATGCCATTTCACCTTTACAAAAGATCTAAATCAATTTTTGCCCCCTGTGCAATGAATGAAATTTAAAGAAGAATATGAATATTTTATAGAGCTTTTATAGAGCATTTTAATTGCCTTTAAAGAACTGTGTGATAAATATTATATCAGTCTATGCTGTTAAGGATATTGTCACATTTCAAGCCTTTCATGTTAGGTAGGGCAGGTGACAAACCTTGAATTTTGTTAGAAAAGGCAGAAATATAAATTTAAGTTGCAGTAATCTGGTATATGCAAATGGCAGTGAGATATTAGCAGTTAACAGTTTTTTTTTTTTTTTCCTTTTATGCTTTTCTTATCTATACTTTCCATTAACAAATGTTTGACAGTTCAGCTCAACTCAAATGCTAAAATAAAATGGCACATTTGCAGTGCAAACTGAAGAACAAAAAACTGTTAAGCTACTATTTAACTGCAACATGTGAAATGGGAGATACAACTTTTCTTAGCAGCATGTTCTCCAACTAGTTTGAAGGTTTTTTAGAGAAGAAGTATTTGGAAATTTATCCAACATGTAATATTTTAATTCAGAAGTCAAACAACAAAAATCAGCGTTATATTTACAAAATTTTCACAGGATTAGTTTCGATGGTTTTACCGAACCACCATCTTCAGCTGCAAAACCGCAAATGAACAAGATAAGGAAATAATGATTAGTTAAGATAAGATAAGAAAGCCTGGACAGGGGAATAAGCTAGTGGCGTCCATCTGTTTGGCGAAACCAGAACTAAAACATAATTTCTTTAAAAGCTGAAGGCAAATTTGGATTGGAAATTAGGGATCGTTAACTAGAACAGAAAGTTTTTTTATGAATGTGAAATTGCCTCTAGAAAATTCATTTCATCAATTGGAAGATGTTTTTTGAATAATTTTGGCAGCAGAAAAATTGAAAGCGTGATTTTCGGACCAACAATGTTGAGCAACAGAAGACTTCTGTGTTTCCTTTTTTCTAACATATGCCTCATGTTCTTTGACGCAAAATTTTAAGGCTCTCTTAGTTTGGCCAATGTAAATTAAACCACACTGGCAAGGAATCCTATAAATACCCCAGGAATTCATATCCGGAATGGGGTCCTTGAGTATGGAACTCGGAATTTTATTGATGGGAGAATAAACAACCCGAAAGTTAAATTTCTGCAAAATATGTGCAACTTTATAGCTAATTGATGGAAAGAAGGGAATAACAACAGAATTTTTATAATCTCCTAAAACAAGAGTGTGCCTTTTAGTGTGTTGAGATGAGAATTTTTTAACTGCTTGATTAATAATGTTGGGTGGAAAGCCCCTGTCAATAGCTATTGCTTTTAAATAATTTAGTTCTTCATCAAGGGCTAGTTTAGAGGAGCAAACTTGAAGAGCACGGAAAACATAGGAATAAAATGAAGCTAACTTTTGTTTAGTCGGATGACATGATTTAAAGTGTGGTGGAATTCCAATCCAAATTTGCCTTCGGCCTTTAAAGAAATTATGTTTTAGTTCTGGTTTCACCAACAGATGGCGCCACTTGCTTATTCTTGTCCAGGCTTTCTTATCTTATCTAATCATTATTTCCTATCTTGTTCATTTGCGGTTTTGCAGCTGAAGATGGTGGTTCGGTAAAACCATCGAAACTAGTCCTGTGAAAATTTTGTAAATATAACGCTGATTTTTGTTGTTTGACTTCTGAATTAGTATTTATTCAACGTGTTATTGTGTCTTAATGTAATATTTTGCTTCAAGACCCTAAATATTGTATGTTGCAGATAGTTTAAACAACTAAAAGTAAGATTTGGTATGATTGGAAACTCACTTCTACCAGTGTAAATAATAATGGATATAGTGTCTTACTCAAGCTATTTATTGATTGAAGACAATAACCTTTTACAATAATACATGTTCTATTTGATAAAGTGTTACAAAAATTTGTCATCTAATCTGAGAGCTTAAAAAAATAATAAAATATTATTCCTTGTTTGAAATGATGAAATTTTCAGAAATACATTTAAAAACTTGTTATCACCTCAAGAAGTCAGTGTTAAAAATGATATAGAACAGTAATCATAACCGTAAGAAGATGAAATAAATATTAATTTATATCATGTTGCTATGTTACTCATATACTTTTATGTAAACTATGGTTTTATTATCATGCATAAAAGAGATGGTATTTCTTGTTGCTTTTACATTAAATCATGCTGTGCAGCTTATTTCAGTAAATTAGTCCATATCTGTTAATAATATATTAGTTTATCATAAATCATACTGACATAGTATCATAAAAATAGCTTTTGTTTTCATTGATTCCCATAATACTACATATGTATAACATCTATCAGACATGTTTGTATAAACTTGCCAGTGGGCAAGTGAAGTCCACTGAATACTGATAGTTTGATATGGGTTTGAATACCAGCAAATGGGCTGGCTATATAGTTTTTTTTTATATTTTTACCTATGTGTAATGTAAATACAAGCTAGTGTCCCTAGTAAAGTATACTTCAAATAAATCATCCCTTCTCCAGCAGATAGCTTTAATATGCTTTGCATATTTTGAATCAAGCTAACATATGTATGGATGTATGTGAACCTATGGAAATAATGTACAAAATAACATCTCCCCCCCCCTTAAAAAAAAAAAAAAAAAAAAAAAAAGAGAGAGAGAGAGAGAGAGAAACATGGAGGTAGGAAAGGGAGGAGGGGCCATTCTGCGCTAGAAGTGAAGCACTGCTTTGAAGCTTGGGTCACCAGACGGGGTGTTCTTTGTTTACATTCAGAAGCTCGCTTGACAAGATTCTGATAGTATTTCGACACACGACAGTTCCATAGAAATCGAAAAAGGGACACTCTCGCATGAAAGAAACATAGTGTGATGGATAATAGCAATTTGTATAGTTTACTGACATTTACGCAAAAATCACATCTTGGTTATTTTTCGATAACTAACAACAGCGATTTTGATTATGAATTTGTTTTATAAAATTCTAAGCTGTTGCACTACAAAAATATAGATTTTAAAAAAATTGCTCTGCCAAAATTTATTTTCTAGAAGATTTGAAAAGTTTAAAACTTGATGGCTAAATGTAAATATAAAATTATGTATGGTAAAATATTTGTAATTAGGCATAGGTCAGATTAAGTTTTTATTAAATAGAGTAACGCATGCAAGGGCTATCTGCCTAAAGAGAGAGATGCCATCGTGGAGGAATTTTGAAGAAAAACTGACCTTTGAGTGGGTATTAAAAATAATACTTATAATTTTCATTCAAATTATATTCATATATATTTTTTATGTAAAACTTTCGGGTGTATGCTAAATTAGTGTAAATTACTTTGCACGAAAAATATAGTGAATGCACAGAAATTAAAGATTTGCACATGCCGGAAATAATAAATAGGAAATATGTATGGGTATTTATGCATGTGCTTGCAAAAACCATGTATCTGCCTTTGACAAAATACTTAAATATTCATTAAATTATTTATAAATGTATTTGAAATGAAGAATTTATTCACTTATAAACAACTGTGAAAGTACTGTGAAGAAATCTAATGATTAAATGTATCTAATTTATAATGATTATAAATGTTATCTAAATATATAACCTTAATATTGAATTGTAAACATAAATTGAAATCCTGTTGACAAATACGTTATAAAACTATTTAAGCAAGAATTGTTCGTATTGGAAAGCAATCTGTTAAAAGGTATTGTAAAGCAAATGCTATGAGATGCGCACTTAAGAACGTAATAAAGAGTTTTGGAATATGTATTCTTGAAATGAAGGGTAAAAAAAAAAAATCTGATAAGTATAATTAAAAGAATTATTCCCTTACATTTTATAATAACTCAGTTACAAAGTTTTAAAAATAATACTTAAAAAAAAAACTTATATTATTTATTTTTTCCCTTTCAGAAATGTTCAGAGAAAGTCAAATACTATTTAATACCTATTTAATTATTAGGAATTAGCGAAATACTTATTTAAAGTATTTCGCTAATTCCTAATAATTCTCTAATTTAAAATGAACCGAACAGAGCATTAATTATAAATTGACTTACATTTTTCGATTTAAAAGAAGCCAAAAATTCATGTCATATTTAAGAAAGTATTTTAGGAAGAAGCTCTATAAATA